ACTTATCTAGGTATGGCTATTTTTTTTTGTTTTACGGTTTTGAGAACGATTTTCGGTTAGTTATTGGTATCAAGCGTTTAGTTCGTATCACTTTAATTTTTTTGATATTTTGTACGGAAAAATGGCCCACGTTTATGGAAACAATGAACTAGTGGACATAATACTAACATACGGAGAGTGCCAACAAAATACAACCGCAGCATGTCGCCTTTACGCGGAAAGGTTTCCATTAAGAAATGATCCGGCTCCACGGATGTTCGTAAATTTAGTTATTCGACTTCGTGAGACAGGATACTCGAAAGAACAACGAGGGGGTCACGCTGGAAGACCTGCTCCACCTGACATGGTAGAAATTAAGGAAAATATTTTGGAAATGGTGGAAGATGACCCAACAATAAGTACCAGAGCTATAGCAACTCAAGTCGATGTTTCCCATAGTAAAGTGTGGAAAACAATACGACAGGAACAATATTATCCTTATCATTATCAACGGGTACAAGCATTAGAACCTGAAGATCATCATAGAAGAGTTGAATTTTGCCAGTGGTTTTTACAACAGTTGAATAGAAATGAAGATTTTACGAAAATAATTTTAGCTACAGACGAATCCACATTTACACGAAATGGGATATTCAATTTTCACAACAATCTTGTTTGGGCAGTAGAAAATCAGCATGCCGTAAGAAGATCTAATTTCCAACATAGATTTTCATTAAATGTTTGGGCTGGTGTAGTAAATGGCATGCTTATTGGACTATACTTTTTTCCACCTCGGCTAGCCGGTGACATTTTCTTCGACACCATCTGCCAGAATTATTACAAGATGTTCCACTGAATGTTAGGCAGGATATGTGGTTTCTACATGACGGAGCTCCACCGCATTTCAGAAGAGGAGTTCGTGAATATTTGAATGAACAGTTTCCGAATAGATGGATAGGGAGGAATGGACCCGTTTCTTGGCCTGCACGCTCGCCGGACCTAACGCCTTGTGATTTTTTTCTGTGGGGTTATTTAAAACAGTTGGTGTATCATGATGGAGAAGTAAATACTGTGAAAGAACTTCAAGACCGCATTGTAAATGCTTGTGATGTTATTCGCGCACATCCGGATTTTATTTTTGAGGCCTGTCAGGAGTCGTGGGTACACCGATCAAGACTATGCATTTGAAACAGAACGGATGTTATGCTGCCAAAAAAGGGCTGATTCAAATAATCAAACTAAATAAATTAATAACGTATTTGACACCTTACCTTTTGGAATATTGGACTGATCGGCGAGCGGCACACATGAAGCAAAAAGGCACAAATATTAAGCGACGGCGAACGAACTTGTTACTTTGTTGGCGATACATCGATGTCTCTTCGTTCTTCGAAAAAGGTCCAAAGCATGAACCGTTTAGGTGGGCCAAAGTGTCAAAATAGATAACGCGAATTTAAATTAAGAAATTAATAAAGAAAATAAATCCATTCTCGAACAGCATTCAACGAATAAATGGTGACAATTTTGAACAATTTTTGTAAAAATAAAATACATTTTACCGATAATGAATGTTTTTAATTTAAAAAAAAACTTATAACTCCCTTATTATGCAACTTTTATTTAGGTAATTTTTGGTATATCGACTGCTTTTGACGAGTTCAACAAGCTGTTAAAATAAATGACTCAAGTTTAAAAACACCCTGTATAAATTATTAGGTAATTGACTTAAAAATTCTCAACTTTGTTTTTTGGTACAAAAAAGAATCTAACATTTCTGACGTTAGTCATAGCCTCTTGCTTTGATAAATAGCGTCATAACTTTCTAGAGTATGTTCGATTCGAGCTAAAGTTCGCAATTTTCCTTGATTACAAGTAAAATATAATAAATTTGAATAGCACGTCTGCGCAATAATGTATTTTCAATCAGCTGTTGCATAACTTCTTGCAATTGCAGAAAATAATTTTAAAAATAAGTAGCAATTATTTAAAATTTCCTGTGCTTTATTTAGAAATAAACAAGTTTATTAATATTATTTTCACAAAATTATGTAAAATCTCCATTAGAAGCCGTGTATTTCATAGATCACTTTGAACACCAGCGCCCCTGTGGTGATTTTTAAAAGCACAATTAATGTCAAGGATATGTCGATTCGTCCCCTTCTCTCCAGTCCTTATATTACCTACTTAGGGTTAGATTAGAGAAAATGCACCACGTCTGCAACTTTGCAGACGGCGGACTTACAGATGCAAAATACAAGTCAAGGATTCTTGACTCTCTATAGGATTGTTCAATGCATCGTGTATCATCGGAAATATTCGGGAAAATGACGTAGTTGCCAGACCATCGAATGAGCGAATTTAAAAATGAGAAAATCTTGTACCCTAGTACACATTGTGTCCCAAATAGTACACGTAGTACATAAATAGTATACAAACTAAAATTAGGTCGATGAGCTAAAATAAAAGGGGTCACATAGGTCTCATATATTAAAAATAGATTGACGACCGAAAAGCAAAAAAAGGTCTTTTTCCTGTATTTTTCAATAAACATTTTTTTCTCCGGGTCAGCATCGCTGGATTGTTGGCAATCCTACACAATTAGCACAAAATAATACAGTACATAAATAGTACATATAATATAGATTGTCCATTATTGATTCTACGTCCAACTGCATAAATTTTAATACACTGTTTAAGATATATTTGCTGATTTACATGCAGATATGCTTTTTGCTTTTATATCGCAATGTAGCAAATAAAAGCAGATGCAGCTTCTTCAAATGTCCAGTCAACACGTTTATTTTTTTTTTTTTTTTATTTTCAATAAGACCATTTGGTTTTTAGTAAAAATATTTTTCTTGGAATTTAGTTCTTTGTTTTGTTTCAATAGTCTCTGATATTTGTTTTTATAAACCTTAGCCAAAATATACCCATCTAGGTCGCAGTGGAAGGCGATGAGATCATCCCACTTATTTTCAACCTAACCTTTTATAAAACTTCAATTGCTTGTTTTATAATTTTAAAATCATCTTTAAGTTTAATATAGTTTTGCTTCCAGTTAACAACGACACTGGTTTCGCTTTTAATTGAGCTAAATGTGTGGACATCCTATTTTTCTGTTCTCTTTTTAAGATTCAACTTTGTCGTTATTTCTTTTTTAAAGTTTTATCTTCACTTTCATTATTCCCAAGAATTAAAGTAGGGACTGCCGTTTTCTTTAATGGTCCTCACACTGGCAAACCCCATTACAGTTTTATTTCAAATTTTCTTTACGCGTTAGTGCGTAAAGTAACCTTCGTATTTTTAATATTAGTGGGCAATATGTACGGTAGAAATATCGTATGCAATTCGTATGTAAAGGCCTTTTTTGAAGGCCACTTTATACACTTATTATAAGCATAAATAACTATTTTTTGTTATTTTATTTAATAGTAGGTAGTTGACTAATGTAGTGGTTACAAACGCTGAAATCGTATGAATTCAGTTCGATGACAGATATGCTCAAGAAATATAAATTTTCAATAAAAAAGTGGGTTTCCATTTAAAAATTAAAAATTAATTGCGATTTACTGTTATTTTCGAAAAACCGGAAATAAGCCATGACATCACAGACCAGTTAAATCAATTATTTGACAATATTTATTCCACGCTTTCAAACAAAAAAATTTTAATTCCGATATCTCAATTAATAAGGAAGATAAGAGCGGGTTGAATTATTAAACGGTTTGCTAATAACAAAAATCTTAGATACGCCACTGGTATATTGTAAATGGGCCTTAATAAGAACTGTGTAGCTCACAAAGATTTTATACATACCCATATTGTTTCCATAAACGAATTTACAATAACATTTTAAAAAATATATTAACCATTATAACGGTCATTTTGACAACTGACAGAAAAGTTTCAACACACAATTCTTGTCGGAAAACGTCCCAGAAATTCAAATTTTCAATCAAAAAGGGGTTTTCATTTTAAAATTAAAAATAAATTGCGATTTTTAGTTATATCCGGGAAAATCGGAAGTAAGCCATGACGTCATAGACTAATTGGATCCAGTAAATAAAAGTATATGTTATAGATTTTAAATAGAAAAGTTCTCATTCCGATATCTCAATTAACAACGAAGATAAAAGCGGATGGAATTATTAAACGGTTTGCTGATAATAAAAATGCTTAGATACGACACTGGTATACGGTAAATGGGTCTCAATGATAATTTTGAAGCTTACAAAGATTTTATAAAGATAATACATTTCTATATTTTTTTTTTCCATAAACGAATTAATAGTAACATGCTTAGAAACAATATTATCCAATATGGCGGCTATTTTGACAGCTGCCACAAAATTTTTAATATACAAAAATGTCTCAGAAATTCAAATTTGGAATAAAAAAAGTGGGTTTCAATTTAAAAATAAAAAATAAATTGCGATTTTCTGTTATTTCCGGAAAAACCGGAAGTACGCCATGACGTCACAGAATAATTGAATTAATCATAATAAATAACGAAGATAAGGGGGGGGGGTGGAACTTTTAAGTGGCCCACCCTGTATATTTGCGCTGAACATCTAATCAATATAATAAATTAAAGCTCCATTCAATATTATTTGCTTATAAAGATCTCTTTCATAATTATTGCCCATAAAATGGACAGAACAAATCTGGCTTTTTGTGAGATTCTACGGCACCTTCGAATTCACTCTTGTTTTATTTCGTGTGAAACAAAATCTTTCCCCAATGGAAAATCATGATAAATAAAATAAAACAAAACTAAGTTGGTTTACTAAAATACTTTTTATGAAAACAGTTTAAAAAAGTCCAGTCAATTAAAAGGCTACAAAAACAATCCAAAAAATACTAAAAACCATGAAAAAACGTATAAACAACAGAAGAATTTATAAATTTCTGGTCCGGCAATGAAAAAGAGTTAACGTACATACTAGATGAAATTGGCCAGTCCTAAAAGGACTTAGGAAACCCCAAAAAGTCCAAAAATTTTTTAAAAAAATGTTGAAAAAATGGTGATGTTAGAAGAAAAAAAGGTTGAAGAGAATCTTAAACGAAAGTCATCTTCACAAAATCAAGAAGTTCAGGATGCTGACTACCATTTTTTGATGAGCCTATTGCCCTCATTAAGAGATATACCAGCTTACAGGAAACTTATGCTAAGGCGTAAAATTGAGGACTTGTTTCTACAAGAAGAGAGGTACAGCACTGTGGGCGAGTTTAACTATAATCCTCAACCAGGATCTCATCAAAACATGGTATCACCTGGTGGGCAATCAGATGTAAGTAGTATTGGAGGTCATATGAATGTAGGATCATACGAAGATGGAGAGCTCACTGAGTTGATCGCAGGATATGAAGTGTTTAAAATGACTTTCAATGTTACTTAAATTCAAAACATTATTTTCTTACATTTTTTGATTTCATTTAATAAAGTTTTTGAACAAGCATAATAAAAACGAGTGTTTTATTTTCCAAACCCGATATCCAGGTAATTTTCATAAACTATTCATAGAAAAAAATATATTCAATTGCCATTTTTTAATGTTTATAATTAATACGTAAGATTAACTTTTTTGGGAGAGAAAGGCCTAAAACATTTTTAATATTGGCAGATTGAAAATCATTTTTAAATTCATCAAAAGCATATTTTAAAGTAAATAGTTAATAAATCTTCAAGTCTTACCTCAAAGTAACCATCAAATTCTCTTCAGGTGATATACAATTTCGGAAGTTAGAGTGCCTCCTTATGTTAGGAGTGCTTTTGCCTAGTATATAATAAAAAGTGTCTGGCATCATTCTAAAGTATTTAAAAAACTTATTAATGCAAATCGTTAAATATTCGTGCATACTCTCCATCTTCCTCTCTGTCTAAAAAATACCTACTCGTTAACCCACTCTTCCCTGATTTCCTGCTCATCCAAAAATTAAAACTTTAAAACACCATTTTCCAAAACAATGTCCTCGTCTGACATTTTGATTGACCTGTTTATAATAATAAACTAGCACCTACTTGCATTTAGTGTGAACACATTGCTGTTTACCCCAGCTTGCGCACGCGCGCGCCACCAAATTACTTGCACAAGCGTGCCTCTAATGTAATCGAAGCCATCCGCCATACTTGCAGATCTGCAAAGTTGCAGACGTGTATTTTTTGCAATCTCACCCTTATTAGTCGTTAATTTATAAAAGGAAATAACGGAACTGTGTATATTATATTTTTAGGTAAAATTAGCATTCAGATTTTTTTTAACAAAGGAAGGATAACCAGTATCTATTTAAGATTAAATATCTATTGGAATTTATTTTTTTACATTTATGAATTCATTATTTACATTAACATATATATAACTGGATTATGTTGAAGCCATGCCATTAATATAATCATAAAAAATGCTTAATGCAAGTAAGGATAGTCTCTAATTTAAATAAAAGAAACTTATATAAGTAAATAATATTGAATAGAGCTTTAATTTATTATATTGATTGGATGTTCAGCGCAAATATATACTAAAATGTTTTCTTTAAAATAGAAAAGTTAATATTGTTGGAATTGGTTGTATTTTTTTTAAAGGTTGGTAATACTTAATCAATCTCAAAAATTAGTTTGTTAAAACTGATTTGTAATTCAAACAAAGCTATCATAAAATAAAACCCAATTCAGAATTGTTTTCTAATATTTAAAAATCAGTCATCCTAATAAAAATATTCATTAAATTACTCCAGACCACCAAAGTAGATACCTACTAGATAGATTCTTCTCCAACGGAATTTTCGAAATAACAAAACAAACAATAAATTTAAATAAAAAGCAAGTAGATAGGTACTTTAGAAATTATTAAGTTATTGTCTCAAACTAAGCCAGCCTTTTATTATTATGTACTTTTAGACGATAGATTTTAATGCATTTCATGATTAGTTGTACCATTATTGTGATCGAGATAAATAATAATATTTAAATAAAACAATATACAATCTGTTTTATTCTTATAACATGATAAAGAAAGTATGTAGGTCAGGAATTTTTTTAAGCTAATAACTTCTATAATGTCTCATTGTTTGTCTCTGTTAATTTATTACATATTTTAAGGTAGGTTTATTATACTTGCAGAGCTGTGGATTATGCATATTATCTACTCATACATGCCATAAACTGTATTATTAATCACTTATTAATATATATTTTTTTTAGTTAAGTTTTACATAATTGGATTAGGTCAGGTCAATTTAAATTATGTAGAGGAATATATCGAAAGGAATAGCTCTCGTAAGCTGTAGAAGAATATGCAAAAAAACTGGGGTCTAAGTCTCAAAATGACCATAACAAGAGTGATAACAACTTATGGCGGGGTGGCGTGGGTAACCAAAACTGCTCAGGCAAGTGCAACAGGCCAACTTACCGGAAGTCAGCGACTCGCTTGTTTGAGTGCCACAGGGGCCATTGTTACTACATTAACTGCTACACATCTTCATTAAAAGAGAGACCAGTTCCGTTATTCACAGACTAATGCAGGAACAACACCCAATAATTCAACTACATAGCTTTGACCATATAAGGCTATACCTACCAGCAAATAAAAAAAATATGATTCTAATAATGTCTACTGACATAAGAGTGATTTACAAATTCAAATACCAGTCCGAGAAGCCTGGAAACAATGACATCCCATACAGACTGAACTCGTCTCATATATAGACGGTTCAAAAACCAAAAAAGGAACCAGTGCTAGAATATTTGGACGTTGGACCCAAGTCGAAAACAACGATTTTGCTGAGTCTAGGAGAATACGCAACAGTGTTCTAGGTAGAACTAATAGCTATACAACACTACGGAAGAGAAATAAATCAGCAAGTATCAAGCAAAACTATTGGCCATCTACTATGATAGCCAAGCAGCTTTATAAAGGCAATTAACTCACCAAAAAAACTGCCCAGAAGTTCTAACAAAGCTACATAGTCAACAGATAGTGACCTGAGCTACAACTATCCAGGATTGAGATAGGCTAAAGGGTTAATTAAAGAACCGTCGGCCAAGTTCACGAAAGACATACCTACTGGATCAAAAACAACATATCGTTAGAATAACAGTGGGTCTTCTTACCAAATATTATCGCCTAAGAGAGCACACGAGTCTTATGAATCCACCAAAATAAGTAAGAATGAGCAGGTTCTTTGAAGAAGAGTAAACATCAGTCTAGTCCTGTTCCAGTATAAATGTCAGGCTAGATTGAGGTTTCTAATACTAGGTAAAGAAAAGTCAGAAGCAACTATATATGGAAGCCACTGTCAAAGTTACTAGTCTAATAAAATATACCAAGTCAGACGACATACTCTAAATATCGAAGTCCCACAATTGATCTGAAAAGGTGGACAAGGGCAAATACTGTCCAACTCCTTTCAAATCTAATCTAATCTAATCTATTCTAAGATCAAGAGCAAGTGAAGTATATAAGTTGTTGTATATAAAGAAAAAAAAAAAAGATATTTTTCGTTCTTCCAGGCCTTTTGTTTCAAAACTAAAAGGAGGGAAGGGACTTTAGACTACCACTATACATACGTGGCCACTATTTAAATCATAGGTTCAGGATCTCAAAATATTAAAATTTTTCTAAATAACACTGGATAAATCGTCCTGTGGAGTGGGTGAACCCAAAACAGCGGTATACTGGTGGAGCGTCTCCATAGACCAACAGCGTAAGAAATATAACAGTGCAAGGAGAACAATAACAAGAAACAATAGGAGAGGTGAAATCAGAATATACGAACTAGAAGAGATAAGTAGACACTATACAGAAGCAAAGAATGAGCTTAAAAAAATTATAAAGGCAGCAAAAAAACGAAAAATGGAAGAAAATCCAAGGATAAAAAATGTTGATAAACCACTTCAAAGCCTACGTACCGTACTATACAACCATAGAAAAGAAAAGGGAAATAACGAGAAATCTCTTTTAGATGGAAGAGCCACGACCATATCAGAAGGACAGAGACGGGAGTGCTCCTCTTTACAGTAGAGGAACTAGAAGCGATTCTAGGAAAAATAAAGACAGGTAGAACTCTAGGGATCGACAACATCCCCCAGGGGCCATAAAATGAGCTGGAGTTGAGGAAACAAAGTGGTTGTCGGACATGATGAACAGGCTTCTAGAGACATTCCCCGAATTATGAAGAGAGGTAAAATTGGTACTCCTGTCAAATTACAGAAAGCCAGGGGAAGAAAAACAAACATAGAGACCAATATGTCTAGTTATGACAAAAAGTAAGCTGTACGAATCGCTGGTAAAGGGGAGACTGAAAAAGGAGATTGAGACAAAATGTCAGAATCCCAGTTGGTAAGGTTTTTGCAGGGAATAAATAAATTATCGATGCGGTGGCGGAAGTCGTAAGATTAGCAAAGAACAACCCACACAAATGGGTGTTATGGTTGCCTTTGACGTCTAGAATGCCTTTAATAGCCTTCGGTGGCAACTGGCAACACATAATGGACCTATTTAGAGAAGCAGGCTACTCCAAGTACTTAATAAATATTATCAGAGAGTATTAAAGCAAAATAAAGCTGATAATAGAAAGAGGAGAAATAGCGGATGCCTCGACAGGATTTCTATAAGGTTCCGTACTAGGCCCTACTCTCTGGAACTCGGTATAGGATAGAGCGTTCAGATGTAAGTACTTAACGTTGGAGGGATAGCTTTCGCAGACGACGTAGGGATCATTGTGATGGCGGAAGATCAGTAAGAACTAGTGGCCACTATGAAATTTACAACGATCCTGGTGAGGAGGTGAATGAGCAAAAACAAAACGGAGGCTGGTAACACTTTTAGAAAATAATACCAAAGAGGAGACTAAAATATTTGGACATAACCCTAAGCAACTTGGGCAGCTTTGGGTCACATATAAAGAAGGTAGTGAAAAAGGCAGAGAAAAGGACTGCCATACTAATACCCTTTATAAATAAACCAACAAGCACAAAAAAAAACGATACTTCATAGCGTAATTTAGTCTGTGCTCCTGTATGGAGCCCCCACATATCACAAAGAACTTGCAATTTCCTCTTACAAAAGGAAGATTACGAGAGCAGACCGAAAGGAGATACTGCGTGTAGCGAGAGCCTACAGTCTAGCAAACCACCAATGCTCTAAGTGTCATAACAGAAGTGATGCCCATTCACCTGCTAGAAGATGATAGAGAAGAAAATAGCGACCACATATAAAAAGAGGAGAGAAGGGAGATTATGAGAGAGTGGCAAATGAAGTGAGAACATAGCAACGGGACAATGGACCAAACAATTAATAGCATGAATTAAGGAATGATGGGAATTCCAACACAAAACGACGGATTACTTCCTCACGCAGGTACTATCGGGGTCACGGCTGCTTCAGGAATTACCTAAAGC